GAAACATTTACAGGAACAACCATTTTAATTTGGAAATAGAAAATAATTATAAAAGAAATAAGACAGTCTTACCTAATTTCGATGACATATTTAAGATATTTATTTCCACGCAATTAACAACCCTTCACTCAACAATAAAGACTTTAACATATGTATTGGAATATTCCTTACATGACCTTGACAGTCTTCTAGTTCCCAACTTCTCATGAAACTGTGTTAGTTTGTCTTGAACTAAAATTCATTACTACTCTAATCACTTTTATCATTCTCTTGCGTAATAATGATAACAGAACTGAACTTAAAGTCATGTACATAATTGTTGCTCTGATGCTTATTGCAAAAGTGGGCCTAATTCGAATGCTAGTAGCCAATCCAAGCAAATTGGATGAATTCAACATTTTGTCCGAAAAAAATGTGATACTAACAAAAAGAATCATCCTTTTTTTTACTATCTTAAAATCATAAAACGTAAAATATCAAAACTAAATTTCCTTTAAAGAATTAAACCGTATCTCCCGCCATTTGTTCGTCGATATACAATATAAAATCCTTCACTCTTTTACATTTATCTTTCTTTCGCTAAACAGTGAGACGCTTTTCTTCTTCATTCCCCTCCCTGCGCTCACACGGTGGCCTTCTTGCTTCGCCTGGCGAGCTTGAGCTTCAGCCCGTGATCCTCATGGGGCGTGAGGAAGCGACGTATGCGGCTGGAGCTGTTGGCGACGGGCGTGAAGAGGTAACACGACTCCTTATCGTCCCCCTCGGCGCCCCTCTTCCTCTTGCCGGAGGGAGGGTCCTCGGGCACGGTGAACACAGCGAGGGCGTCCTGGGGGTGGTGCCCGCTGACGATGCCGGCCTTCTCGCATCCGCCTCCGAGATAGATCCCCCTGTGAGGGCGGGGAGGGGGCGGGTCGTGGGCTCCTTGCGGGAGGGGGCTTCGGCCTCGCTCGCCTTCCGAGACGCTCTGCTCGATCCAGTCATCTGCAGGGAGGGCAACGGGTCAGGGAATTTCCTCTATAAACACATCATCATCATCATTATTTTCTTAGGTCTTAGGTAGCACGTATATCTCAAATTTTCCTTTATAACTAATATGATCAAACATATAAAATCAAAAAGAAATTCTCATATAATTAGGCACGCCTTTCTAAATTATCGGTGCTTGAAACTATACACATATTAATGACTTCCACATACTCCTTTTCACTGCCCTTCAAAATCTGTGTGTGTGTGTGTGTGTGTGTGTGTGTGTGGCGCGTGCGCGCGCTCGAGCGTGTGTGTACCACTACGATTTCGTATATGTATGTACGCGCGTGTTTGTATACATGCGTGAGTGGAGACATACCTGATCGCTGGTTCCCGACTTTGCGTACGAGCACTGGGGAATCCCCGGAGCTGCTGCTGTCGTACTCTAGGATCAACGTATCCTAGAAGGAGCGAAGGAGGGAATGAGTGAGGGTGGAAAAGACGGAAGGAGGGGTAGGGGAGGGATAGAAGAAAAGAAGGAAGGGGGAAGAGGAGAGAGAAAGGGAGAAAGGGGGGAAGGGGAAGAGTGGAAGAGTGGGAGAGAGAGAGGGAAAGAGACAGAGAGAGAGAGAGAGAGAGAGAGAGAGAGAGAGAGAAGAGAGAGAGAGAGAGAGAGAAGAGAGAGAGAGAGAGAGAGAGAGAGAGAGAGAGAGAGAGAACAGAGAGACAGAGACAGAGACAGAGAGAGAGAGAGAGAGACAGAGACAGAGACAGAGACAGAGACAGAGACAGAGCAGACAGAGACAGAGAGAATCTTGAATTTATTATAATCCATATTTCATAAAATACAAACAAAAGGTACATTAATGGCAAGGTGTGTGCGTGGGCGTGGCGTGTGTACGCGATTGTATATGCACGCTATTAACGTTAACAGATCCCTTCGCGCACGTACCTGTCCCGGCGAATCGGTCAGCAAGAATGTCTTCTCCGGAGTGAACCGCTGAGTGCTGTCCTCCAGGCGAGACCTCAGCAGAGCCGCAGGGTCTTCGGTCCCGGCGATGTCCACGCCCTGCGATTCGGGCAATGGGGGAAATAGGCGGTTATATGCATACTTAGGCACAAACGTGAATATATGCTGAAACGCACTTATTTATACACATGCAGTACACACTCTGACACACACAACATATATATATATATATATATATATATATATATATATATATATATATATATATATATATATATATATATATATATATATATATATATATAATATGTATGTACATACATATATATACAATGCGAATGCTCGCTGTCCAGTACACCAAAAATAAGAAATAAGGTGAGCATTTCTCCAACCATTAATATACTCCAATGACTTTACGTACAAAGACGACCTCCATTCCTATTCTCCCTCTCGACCCTTACATCTCTCGCGGCAAAGAAAACGCCCGACTCCACCTTCCTGTTGGGACGCCCTTGGGAAGACGCCGCATCGTCGCGCGGGTGTTCCTGCGACAGCCGCGTCTGCCTCCCTCTCGCCTTGGCTTCCTGCTTGCCCGACGTCTTCCTCGGCTCCGGGACTCCTCCGGGATGCGTCGTGGCCTGCGCGGGAGGCTGGGTCATCCTCGGCGCCGGTTTTCCATCCTGGTCCTGCGGCGGTGGGGCGACGGGGGCTCTCTGGGGGTGCACCTGGGCCACGGGGGACACCTGGGACCGGTACACGCTCTGCAGGTGGACGGACGTGAAATTAGTCCATTTAGAAGATAATGGTGATGGTGGTGATGATGAGGAGGAGGAGAAGGAGGAAGATAATAATAATGAGGAGGAGGAGGAGGAGGAGAATGATGATGATGATGATGAGGAGGAGGAGGACGACGACGATAAAAAAGAAGAAAAAGAAAAAGAAGGAGGAGAAAAAGACGAAGAGCAAATAAAAATTGCCATACTCCTTCTTGCCTTACATCTACATTAAAAAGGAAGTGACGAATACTAGTCTCCAATGACCTAAACCCAACACAACAAGATATCTAACTCTACACGTCAACTTCACCGATATGGATTCAAGACCTCAGCGAAGGGCAGCATGGGGCGGGGACCTGAGAAAGCGCGTTGAACGGGACTTATAAAGTTGCCAGCACCAGCCATGGGACTCTGCAGCAGCGCCTCCTTCACCGCCTGCAACGGGAGATTCAATATCAAAGTCCATTTATGATAAGGTCAGCAAGGCAACTATAGTATGAAGAAAAGGATGATGCGTTTAAGGACTGTTTGAAATCCGTATCCTAAGGGTAATCAAAATAAGAATGGAAAATAAACAATGCGGAAAAGACAACAGATGCAAAACCTACGAATGAAGAGAGATATGTTTCTTGATGACCTTTTAAAGTAGAACCTTGTCTTTCAATGCAGAAACCAGCCTTAAACCGGCGTGCCACGAGATGTCATGAATAAAAGCTCACCTGTTGAACCTGAACGCCGATTTCCCTCGAAAGATTGCCCAATTTCTCACTCAGATTCGTCATGGCCGCCTGAACCTGAAGTGAACAATGAGCAATAATCCATTTGTTAATAAAATGTAATGTCGATTTGTATTTTCCTTCCCATTTTTCCTCACTATGTGTACCAGCCATAGGAAGGATAATTTGCAAAAGCCTCTATAACCATTCGCAAAAGACTTTTATATATATATATATATATATATATATATATATATATATATATATATATATATATATATATATATGGGGGGGGGGGGTTATTTAATTGTTGTTGTTTTTAATTCCACTTGTTACAATGGGCATTCCTTGCTGTTTATTTGCATCAAATTTACCCCCCTGTGTACAAGGAATGGCCGGGGTTACCACTGGCAGCGCTCGGGACTGAACGCAGGTCAGCAAGATTGCACAATCCAGCACCATTCCCAGGTTTCTAACCACTCGCAAAAAACTCCAACCATTTATGGAGCTCTCTAACCACTCGAAAAAGCAACTAACCATACCTGCTGCATTTCCTTTGTGGTTTGCGAGAAGAACTGTTCAAGGTGAACACCCGACGACTTATACTGCTGGGTGAACGCTGTCTGTAACTGGGCAAAACTGTCTTTCATTTTCTCGTTAAGCTGAGTAATGTCCTTTTCCATGTTAGTTAGAGAGGCTCCTGTACCTTTGGAACTAAGATAGATATAAATTGAGATGAAACTGAAAAAATGAGGATGACGGAATAGCTTGACAATAGTATTATCGCATTTTATTTGCCTCGCCCTTGAGCACCCAGATCCCCCTCCTTCTCTCCTTCCCCTCCATCTCCTCTCCCCTTCTCCTTCCCTCCTCTCCCCCTCTCTCTTTCCCTCTTTTTCCTTCCCTCCCCACCTCCCCCTCCCTCTCCTCTCCCTCCCCCTCCCCTTCTCCTTCCTCTCCCTCTCCCTCTCCTCCCCTCCTCTCCCCTCCCTCTCCCTCTCCCTCTCCCCCTCTCCCTCTCCCTTCCTTCCCCCCCCTTCCCCTCACTCTAATCCCTACCTCTCAGCATCCTGGAAGGCCTCCGTAACTTCTTGAGCTCCTTCCGTACCTCCTTCTTGGTCGCTTCGAGTAAGCTCCCCAACCGGGCTTGTTCCTCTACACGCCTCTCGTCCTTCCAGCTCCTTCGTCGAGGTTCCTGACGAGCAGCGCCACCTGTTCTCCGTTCTGCCGGGAATGACGGGAGGGGCTTCAGCGAGAACTCGTCATGGTGTATTTTCTCGTGATTGAAATTGGAGGATCTCTCTCTCCTCTCTCTCTCTCCTCTCTCTCTCTCTCTCTCTCTCTCTCTCTTCTCTCTCTCTCTCTCTCTCTCTCTCTCTCTCTTCTCTCTCTCTCTCTCTCTCTCTCACTCTCTCACTCTCTCACTCTCTCACTCTCTCACTCACTCTCACTCTCTCACTCACTCACTCACTCTCAACTCACTCACTCACTCACTCACTCACTCACTCACTCACTCACTCACTCACTCACTCACTCACTCACTCACATCACTCACCCATCCACCAATTCACT